AACCAATGAAAAAATACAGTGTTTTCAAGTCGTATGAATATTTTCACCAAATACGAGTGAGAACACAGAAGGTTCTGATAAAAAAACCATTTAGCAGCAAGTTCTTGATACTAAAAATGTATGAAGATATATGACCAAGGATATAATGGTTTCATGTTATCTCAAAGACTGTTTTGTGGAAGCACTTTTGCCACAGTTTATTGTCTTTTATCTGATTAAAACCAGATCATCCATATTCACTGCATGCGTCGGAGTTTGCCCAAAGACTCCCCAACTAACTTCGGTAAGATGCATCTTTTTTAACTAAATCTTCATACATTTTCTAATTTTTTGAAATGGGTATTTTATGTATTATTTGTGAATTTTTGCCAGTTGTGAGCTTGTGCAATTTTTTCCAAACTTGCGACCTGAATGATTGCTTTATCGTGGTTTATCAATTTTCGTTTTGGAAGCAAATAAACTAGGACAATGATAAACTAAAATCTCAAAGCTAGTCTTACGAAAAGCCTGGGTGACCGTAAATGAATGCATCCCAGAGAATTCCCTTCTAATTTTGAACGCTTCCATGTGGTCCGCTCTAATTCCATGTCGTCCAGCGAAAATCGATCGAGGTCCAACAATCTTTCCTTATATGATTTACCTCTTCCCCCACCCAGTAATCTTGCATCTACTTTCTGCACCTTCTCCAAGGAGATGGCGTCCATTTTGTGCAGAGGTTCCCAGGCTTGAGCACAATACAGTATTCAAGATGGGGCCTGAACAAATATTTCCGGTTTTCTACATGATGAGGCCGACACAAGCCGGAAAAGTTGTCGCCGCTTGTGAGTCGCAATTTAACATTGGTTGCCCCGAATGAAATCAACAGTCTTTAGCAGTTTTTACCGTATCCATTGCCGAACCTCTCCATCTTCCGACAGCCACTAACGGATTCTGTATATGACATTGTACAGCTTGTTTGAATAAGCGCAATGATTGCCACCACAATACAAAAACTATTCGTGACTATTCACGTGTTTTCCGAGTGTTGCTGAGGAGCAAGCGGTCCGTTAACTGTCGCAACAGGTCCTTCCAGCTCCACCGCGCATTGCCAAAGGGAATCACACTTTCGAGGAACAGAATCCCACAACTGACCGGACAATCGTCTTATGAGTTCTTTCTATGTGCCTTTCATTTCTATCTATATGTAGTATCTTTTCCAATACATATCTGGTAAACCTAACGAAGCTCGGAGTGTAAGAACCTGGACACGTTTTGGTTGGAGTCACTAGTCCTGTGACCTAACCTGAAGCAGTGTGGCAGGGAATCCTATTTCGCTGACACTGTAAGCGGGATATTGCCCATGTTGGACGTCTTTGTTTATGCTGGGCCAAACGTAACGATCAGCAGTCAGATGTAATGTAGAACGAACACGGGTGCGACACTGAATGAAAATGCGTAAAAATTCGTTGATGCATACTAAGCTGTAAAATGGGTCGAGGATATCCAAAGGAAGTGTCACAGAAAGCGGTAGATGGTGATTGTGGACTTGCGTGAAATGTAATGAAGTGGATTTGAGCAAGTCCCCGAAATGAGGGTCACTGGGTTGATGTTCAGAAATGGTCTCTTGGCAGACATCGAATAGTGTAACCACATTGTTGATTTTGAGTCGAGAGAGAGCGCCTGCGACGGTGTTGTCTGATCCGTTGATGTAGCGGATTTCGTCGAAACATTGAGAAATGAAATCCAAGTGACGAATTTGGCGCGGAAGGGCGATCTGAAAGTGCACGGAAAGCAAACTCCAGTGGTTTGTGGTCAATATTGATGGTGATTTGATAACCTTCGAGAAGATGGCGAAATTTTCGAATGGCAAGTTATGCTGCCGGTGATTCCCCACCATTGGTGCTGTAGCTAGTTTGGGATGGTGAAAGCTTCTGTGAATAAAAAGCCACAGGTTGTTGGACGTTTGTGACTATCTGATGGAGTGCCGCTCTAACGGCATAATTCGACGCATCGGTGCGCAGCATCAGTTGAGTGGATGGAGACGAGTCGAGGTGGAACAACATGGTGGCGTCCTGGAGGGCTGATTTGACGGTGTCAAACACTTTAGGCGCCTCAGGAGTGTGGAGAACGTCTTTTGCGTTATCACGGAGCAAATGAGTGAGAGGATGAAGGATGCCAGAACAGTGAGAGATAAAGCGATGATGATAATTAATTAAACCCATGAAAGAATTAAGTTGTTTGACAGAAGTTGGGCGGCTTTACCTTAGAAGACAGTGGGAGAATGCGACGGAAATCAATCTCATGGCTTAGAAATTCTAAGTAGAAGACAACGAAAATGCATAGATGGGTTTAATGTAAGACCGTTATACCTAAAGCGTGAAAACGGAATGCGTAAGTGCGGGCTTTGTTTTTCGGGTGAAGTGCTGGCAATTTAAATGTCATTTAAGCAAACAAAAACTAAGTTATGACCTTGATTGACTTGGTCCAAAATACTTCGAAATGTTTGTGCGGCAGTACGTAAACTAAAAGGCATTCACAATAGCTCGTACATACCAATTAGGTTTGTGGTTGCTGTTTGGGAATGTCGGATTCAGCCACTGGGTTTGGAAAAAACCTGAAATAAACCGGACGACAGATAAGCTATCTACCACCAAAGGTAGGTGGTGGCAACGGGGCTTGAACCTGGGACCATAGGGTACAAAGTAAGCCTGTGACAGCAACTAAACCACTGTGCTTATTGCCATCATCAACGAGGCCGAAATCAGACAAAAGGGTAACACCACTGATGACAGTGGCCATTGATTGGTGAAAATCCACCTGAACTTTTGTCCCAGACCAAGATCGACGACGATGGAGTGACTGTTTGAATGCGGCTGGCTGCTTGCAAGTTGGCTGACTTATTTAAGGTGGCGGTAGCGTGCCGTAATGGATAATCGCAAGTCGAAATTAAGTGCCATAGCACTTTTGATGACCGTCCACCTAGAGGGTGTTTAGGGGACTGTTGACCACCTTCGTGGGCTCCTGGAACCTCCCCTAACCTAAAGCATTCTTTCCGCAACGTTAAATTAACAAATCCTCTGTTCTGATCATGTCTGATGTTCGATTTGTCTACATTTTTTGGCTTCTGCAAACTTCATGATTGCATTTCTGATACACCGCACCAATCTAAATTTATCGTTCTCCATAATAATAATGTAAATTTCACGAAGCCTATGAAGCATAATCATAATCGCTTACAATTCATCATTTATCTCAGTGGGTCATATGTCCCATTCGCATGAAATACGCCTATTATTTTTATTAATAAAAAGGTTGGTCGACACTATGTACTTTCTTCGTTCCTCTATTCGATTGGTAGTGTAACCGGTACAGGTTTTTTTGGAGCTCATTGTTTGAGTGGTTGTTGAGTGACCCAAAGTGCTCTTTAGAAGCGACGTTTTGGTCCCATGGATAAATCATGTTTTCTGGGTTCCCCTGATAGGAATGGTATGTTTCACGATGAGTTTCGTGAGGCACGCTGGGATGCATGAACATATAGAATATATAGTAAAACATTGGGATTGACAGAGTTGGTGGGATGAAGGGAATAGTGAAAGGTAATCAGGACAGGACAGGTCACAGCATTTACGACGGAGCCAGAAGCAATCCAGTTTCTCGCACTAATGAGCTTGAGATCACGACGGCGCTGCGACAGTTGTGTTATTTCGTTCACGTAAACGTGAGTGGGTGCGGTTCTGGAATAAGAAAAAGCACTTCTAATGGTTCCTCGGACTGACGGTACATGTCTGAAGTTTTGTCAGGATCAAAGCAACAGCTCGCAACCCAACGCTCCGAGTTACCTAGAGTAAAAGATTTGTTGTGAAAAAGAAACGACCTAAAAGTGGTGATGCTGGATGTTGAGC